TTCGTCTTTCAGCCTGAGCAAGACTCGGACAATGAAATCATCTGGTAGAAATGTCTGTTTAGAGTCTATGTTTACTAGTTTTCTTTTGGGTCTCGATTTCTTTGTTTCTCTTGAATAAATTTTTGTGTTTTTCGCCTATTTGATTGTTTCCAAGCACTCTGAGGATGGGTTTATGACCCGAAACAGCTGGTCTGTAAGTGCTCTGCCAAAGTTACATTTGCTACAAGACACTTCCAGCCCGCTACCAGACTTCCACACAATACACTTGCTATATTATTGCTTGGGAATAGAACCAAAGGATCTTTGATCTTAGTAGTGCCCGCAGCTATTAGCAATGGAGAAAAGACAAAGAGAATCAAGCCCAGAACCCGCACAGAAGCGAAGAAGAATGGAACAGAAGCTTCCATCCTTACCAGTACATGGCAAGAGGCCAATACTGAAAGCAGAACTGTCATGGACGGTCAAGAACAAAGTTGAAGACGCCCAAGGGACATTCCTCTTTGACACCGGTTGTACAGGAGCAATCCTCAACCAGAGTTTTGTCAGGAAGCATGGAGTTCCCTTAGTGCGGCGAGATCAACCTCTGACAATGTATGATGCTCAAGGAGATGTCATGATGGGCGGAGGAGAGTATTACACTCACCCAGTCCACATGAACATGGGAGATCATAAGGAGACACTCCGATGGGAAGTGGCTACTTTGGAAGAAGGAATATCAGGTTACCTGCCAATTGCATGGGCAAGGAAGCACAACCCGGATATCAATTGGGAACTCAATACCATAAGCTGGCGAAGTGACTACTGCAAGCAGAACTGTCTCCCAGCAGCGATCAAGTTTGAACTCATCTCTTCATACCAACTGATGGAAGAAGAAGATGTAGTGTATCAACTGGCCGCTTCAGTATGGCATGATGAGGATGGAGGAGATATCTCTGAAAGGATACCTCTCCGCTATAGGGAATGGGCCGACGTATTCAGTCAAGAGAAGATACAGGAGCTACCCCCACACTCCCGAAATGATCTGAAGATCAACCTCTTGCCTGGTACCGCTCCCCCATTTGGCCCACTATACCCATGTTCCGCTCCAGAGCTGAAAGCCCTCCGAGAGTACCTGGACAAAGAGTTGTCTTTAGGAAAGATCTCTAGATCTAGCAGCCCAGCAGCGGCGCCCATATTGTTCATACCTAAGAAGGATGGGACATGGCGAATTTGTGTTGATTACAGAGGGTTGAACAAGGTCACTGTCAAGGACAAGTACCCGCTGCCTATCATGAGCGAGCTCAGGGATAGGTTGTTCAAGGCCAAGATCTTCACAAAGATAGACCTGAAGAATGACTTCAATTTGATCAGGATAGCAGAAGGTCATGAGTGGAAAACCGCTTTCAGAACCCGCTATGGACTGTATCAGTACAATGTGATGCCATTCGGTCTATGCAACGCCCCTTCCGCCTTCCAGGCAATGATCAATGATGTGCTAAAGGAACTACTGGATGAAGGAGTGGTTGTCTATATCGACGACATCCTCATCTACTCAGAGACTGAGGAAGAGCATGAAAGGCTGGTTGAGAAGGTTCTACAGAAGCTCAGAGAAGCAAAACTGTGTGCCTCCATCAGCAAGACATCCTTCCATGTCCGAGAAGTAGAATATCTTGGCTACCACATCTCGGAAAGGGGAGTATCTATGTCAGAGGACAAGGTAGAGGCGGTTCAGAAATGGCCAGTACCCCGAAATATTAAGGGAGTGCAAGGTTTCCTGGGATTTGCAAACTTCTATCGCCGCTTTATTGAAGGCTTCAGTAAAGTTTGCAAACCATTGACCGACCTCTTGCAAAATGACAAGAAATGGTATTGGACCGCAGCCTGTGAACAAGCATTTGAGGAACTCAAGAGGCTATTCACAAGCGCTCCAATCCTTCTCCATTTTGACCCTAGCAGAAGAACTGTGGTCGAAACTGATGCCAGTGACTTTGCCAAAGGAGCGGTGCTCTCTCAGTATGGGGAAGATGGGAAACTACACCCGGTAGCTTTCTATTCTAAGAAGTTCTCCCCGGCTGAGATCAACTATGACATTCATGATAAGGAAATGAGAGCTATTGTAGCATCTTTCCGGGAATGGGAGCATATGCTCAAGAGTTGCGAGCAGGAGATCACGGTTTTCACAGACCACAAGAATTTAGAGTACTTCAACTCTACCAAGGTTCTCACTAGGCGGCAAGCTAGATGGTCTGAGGACCTAGCAGGCTACAATTTCAAAGTTGTCTACAGACCGGGAGAAAGGAATGGCAAACCTGATGTGGTATCAAGGCGTTGGGATAACCGCCCTGAAGAGGGGAGTGAAACCTTGCGGCCGGAGCCACAGATGTTTTTTAGGCCAGGTCAATTGATTTTGGATCCTGTTAAGCTAGCGGCTGTCAGAGTGAACCAATTGCAGAATACATTCTTAGAGCGCCTATCTGCGGCAGCTAAAGAGGATGGAATCTGGCAGGAACTGCACTGCTCCCTGGTTGAAAGGAAACCAAACTTGGACCAGAACTTGTCTGTCAAGGACGGCCTCATCTTCTATAAGAATCGATGGTATATTCCGAGAGACAAGAAGCTGCAGATGGATATCCTGACCGACACCCATGACTCTAAAGTGGCAGGCCATTTCGGCCAGTTCAAGACATTAGAGCGGGTGAAAAATAAATTCTTTTGGCCCAACATGGATAAGGATGTTGAGGAATATGTCCGGAGCTGCGACAGCTGCCAGAGGACTAAGACCTCAAGACATAAGAAGTTTGGTATGCTCCAACCGCTGGAGATACCTTATCGGCCATGGACCTCCATCTCTATGGACTTCATTGTGGGATTACCGGAGTCAAATGGGTTTACAAGGATTTGGGTAATAGTGGACCGCTTTTCAAAGATGGCACACTACATCCCACTTCCTACACTCAACCAGACGGAAGATTTGGTCAGGGTGTTCTTGAAGGAAGTCTGGAGACTCCATGGGTTACCTGATGACATAGTCTCGGACAGAGATAGCAGGTTCATCTCTCACTTTTGGCAATCTCTCATGAGCCTCCTCAATGTGAAGCTGAAGATGTCCACTTCTTTCCATCCCCAAACGGACGCCAGACAGAAAGAGTTAACCAGACCCTGGAACATTACTTGCGGAGTTATTGTTCATATCAACAGGATGACTGGGCGGACCTCTTGCCTTTGGCAGAGTACGCATATAACTCGGCGGTCTCTGAGTCTACCAAAGTATCGGCTTTCTATGCCAACTATGGATATGAACCCAGGACCAATTGGCCGGCCCCAAAGGAAGTTGTTGAATGGAACAATTCAGCAAGCGAGGTCATGGTATCTCAATGGGAATCTATCTGGCAGGCTATGAATGCAAGCTTAGGAAAGGCTAGATTAAGGATGGCCCGGTGGTATGATGCACATGCCCTGGCACCGTCTGAAATCAAGCCTGGAGACGAAGTCATGCTAGACCGGCGCAATGTGCAAACAAAGCGGCCATTGGGAAAATTGGATCAGAAGAAAATGGGACCCTTCAAGGTCCTGGAAGCTATTGGTACCCGTGCCTACAAGCTCTCTCTTCCCCCGCAAATGGGAATCCATCCTGTCTTCCATGTTTCTCTCCTAGAACCCTATAGAGCGCCAATAGACCCTGAGAGAAGAGTTCCCCCGCCGGAACCTGAGGAAATTGCAGGAGAACAGAACTGGATCGTCCGGGAAGTAGCTGATAGCCGAGTCAATAAGAAGAGGAGAAGGGTGGAATACCTGGTGCTGTGGGAAGGATATGAGAATGAGGACGCTACATGGGAACCCTGGGAACATCTCAGGAAGAGTGCTGAAGAAGCCCTCCGGGATTTCCATATGAGGTACCCTAAGAAGCCCAGAGATAAGAGGGCTCTAGGCCAGTAGCATTTCCTTTAACATTCTCGTCCCCTTCCACACCAAAGGAGTTTCCTTGTCATATAGTATTGCATAGATAAATAGATACAGATTATAGATCTCGGAGACCAAGATCCTGGAAGAGGGGAGTAGTGTAACGGAGCCATTTCAACTGTCTGGTGTATGAGTACACACAGGGCCCGGTTACATGTTGAGAGTTATTGTTAGAAGCCAGTTGCACAGTGACATGCAAGTACCGGCAGTGTGGTTAGCTACCAACTGTCAGAGTAACTACATTCTGAGCGCTAGGAAGAGGATCTACTCATGGGAGCAATGACTGACGAGTCTGTGCCTCGCCAATGATTAGAAGGCTAGCCAGAGTGAAGCTCTGAGTGCTCAGCGATCCTCCACATCCTCTGAGCATTGGAAGTCCGCCAGCAGTGGAAGAGACTATGCCTGGGAAGTCTACAATAAGCGGAAGCTCTACAGCAATGATTAAGCTTACACCTGAGCGGCAGCTCATTCATGCAGGCCCCTAGTTGTGTGGCAACAAAGGCTACAGGTGTTACAAAGGCTTTGACTAAGGGTGGTTGCCTTCGGAATCGGAAGCACTCGCTGACGCTTAGAGAGAAGCGGGGTAGCGATGGTATTGCTTCCCTTCCACTAGGAGGCAGCACCGGAACTTAGTAAGGAAGTAGGAGCAGAGAATAGAATCCTTTGGAGTATAAGTACTCAGGATCATTCCCGCCCAACTGACCTGATCCTCATCTTCGAGCAGACCATTATCGGTAGCAGAGCCCTTAAAGATTATTGAGTTCTAAGCGATAGTATCTTTGAATAAATCTGCACCTGATTTCTATCTTGCACGGCCACATCTTTCTATCGGATTCTAGCGATACGTGGAAAGACTGTCCCCGTTACATGGCGTGCAAAAGATTTATCGATGAAAGCATATCCTGATGCTCCGGTATCAATAAGGGCGTAGGTGGGTACGAAAGTATTTTTATTCTGTGAAATTGAACAAGTTACTACAAATTGGTTCCCATCCATTTCCTCCTCAGATACCGAAAACCCAGAAATATGCATCCTAGAAAAATCCATAAATGGTCCCTGGGCTAAGCCACTTTGTGCAGGGACAAATCTTTTGCCGACTCGTTATCGCTTCCGTCAATTTCCTCACCCTCAACGCCGCTCCCATCATCACTGGTCTCCTTGGTTGATTTCCATTGCCCTTGCTTGGGGACAATCCCTAACCATATGTCCGACTCCTCCGCAATAGAAACATCGGCATCAGCTAAGCGGGCATTTCTTTCGGTGGGGTGGGGCGCGACGTCCCCCGGACAGATCCATCGGTACATCACCTCCCTGGCGGAATGAGGGATGGTTCTCAGGGACAGATGCATTGACAGCTGGCGCGGCAGCGCGAGGAATAGGGGCAGGATTCCCTGGTGGGGGGTGAGGTGTCGGAGCAGCAGTAGCATTCCAAGGCTTTTTATTTCCTCGCTTAGCTTCTGCCGCTCGTTGTCGATTATCTAACCGTTGCAAAAGTGTCGCGCAGGCATCTACTGTCACAGGAGTTTCATGGTGTATCATCGATTCATCGAGTTCCGCATTAATACCCTCCATCAAAACCTCAATCCGAGAGACTTCATCCATCTCTGACTCGGCAGCATACCGTTGGAATTCGGCGAAGTAATCAGCAAAGGTTCGGTTTCATTGGCGGATGTTCCTAAGGTTCCTCCTAGCCGTACGCATTCTATCAGGATCCCCAAAGCAGTATCTAAGATTTCATAAAACCGTAACATGGAAGGCAAAGCGATGCCTTCTTCTCCGACATATTGTAAGAACTGATTGGCGGCGACACCCTCCAATCGGCTGAATGCATAGGATAATTTGGACTGTAGTGTGGGGAAGCGGTCGGCATTTCCCAATAGCTTGATTTCATCTCTTGCTTCAATAGGTGTAGTCTTTCTCGATCGCGATCTCCCCCTAAATACTTCGGGTCTGGGAGTTTTTCCAACCGTTGGGTACCACTGGAACAGGTGGAACTGGAGGTACCGGTGGGGCATTATCTCTCCGATTGGTTCTTCATCAGGGGCAACGACCTCAACAGCGACTCGGTGGCCCTGGCAGCGGCTAGATCTCGTTCAAAATTTCTCTCGCATTTCCAGCCTCCCTTTCCACCTCCTGTAAGTCCGTTGCATACTGAGCAAGGCCATGTTGTGCCCGTTGAAGAAGTGCATAGGCTTCTATTCCAACATTGCCATCCATCTCTGGGTGTTCTTGAAAAAGGTCTGAAGGGCGTCGCTTAGCTGTTGATAATCAATAGGAGATGTGTTGCCATGGTAGACTATGGTGTTGTATTGGTTGGCAATAGAGGACGGAACCTGGTGTAACGGGGGTCTATGGACGTAGGGACTATGATGCCAAGGAATACAACCGAGGTAAAGACGTAGCAACAGGTATTCGAGACTGTGGACTATGGAGTGGCTCTGCCTAGTACGACTAGCTAGTTGAGCCCTATGACGAGGCGTAGAACAAAGTAGTATTCGTGGAGTAAGTACAAGAGGTTCCGTGAAGAGAAGAGAAGAGGAAGGAAAACATGAAAAAGCACGAGACAACACCCCCTTATATATCCAACTCCTAGTCCGTTGATGACTAATATCTTGCGTAACGGAAACTGAAAGAACATAACAGAAAACCCATTACAAATCATAGTCCAACTGCGCGATTCCTTCTCTTCACAACCCAATCTATCACCTTAGCCGAACTATAATATTGCCGTTACAATTGGTTACAGAGAATCAGATTCATCGTTGTTCAGTCAACCTCTGTGGTAAAGGAGATTCCAATATGAATGAAATTTGTCGAAAGGGTTTTCCAGCCGATATATCGATGTATACTTTTCGGAAGCCAAATGAAATTCGATACACGTATCGACGATTAAAAGAGGCTGATCGATTTGTTGTTCCATATAGTCCACGTTTGTTATTATTATGGAAAGCACATTGCAATGTACAATATTGCACCAACGGCGGGCTAGCAAAATATATTACCAAATATGTTACGAAATCGGAACCTAAATCAATTGTTACTCCGAACAGTACAAAGAAAATCAGTGATCATATACTAGCCCGTAGAATGGGTTCGATGGAAAACATGGTGTTGTTATTAAGTTTTCCAATTTTTCAGATGTCAAGTTCAACTTTATACCTACCAACTTCAATTCCATCCGATAGAGCAGCGGTGGTAAAGCCATCTTGGTTATTGGTATCGAATCCAGATTCGGAGGATATATTCTATGCCGATGCGATTGAAAAATATTATAAACGCCCTCAATCTGAAGAATTTGAATATCTCACTTATTTCAAATACCATTCATTATATAAGATTCAACGTCGTAATCGTTCGAACTTCTCTCATTGTAATTTTGATGGATACGGCAATTACGTATATGAAAGGAAGAAGGTCCGTTTTTATTAAACTCTATTCGAAATATTTTCTCAGTTAACATCTTATCTCCTTTATAGGCTGTTTTGATACGGACATGTTTTCGAAGATTATCAGATGGCGAAAGCTTTTTCTTCAATAAATTGCTTGAAATACAGCATTGGAGATCTGACGAGGAGGTTTTGAGTGGTTTCTCAACATACCGAGATCATGTACTCACGATATATCCGGATATATATCGTCAGCTACAGTTATCATATATGCAAGCATCGCGGGATTCTCATTTATACTTTTCAAATATATATGAGGAATTGGTTCAAGCAGTCACAAATATTGCTGAATGTTCGATCAGGGAAATTGTTCGAAATCAACTCTGCGAGATGCAAAATTTAGCACCTTCCATTTCAGGATCAGATTTGGTATTTCGATTAAATGACGATCAATATAGAGCATATAATCAGATTGTGCAATCATTTGACACGTACCAAGCTGTTGGATATTCTCTGAAATATTTCATAACGGGATCTGCTGGTACTGGAAAGTCATTTCTTCTGAATTGTTTGGAAAATTGGTTTAAAACTCGTCGGTTTCAATATTTAAAACTCGCTTCTACCGGAATTGCAGCGAATAATATATCGGGACAAACAATACATTCCGCTTTGAACATCGGAGGAGGCGAAAACAGTTCGAACTTTTGTTCAAATGTTCCACAACTACCCGAAAGGCTAAATCAGTTAAGACAAATTCAAATTATAATTATTGATGAAGTATCAATGGTCAGTTCCGAACTTTTTGATTTTGTCTCCGGATTGTTTGCACGTATTCATGATTCAGTTAAACCATTTGGAAACATACATGTTATTTGTTTGGGAGATCTCCTCCAGCTATCACCTGTATCTGGTCACAAAGTTTTTTATTCCTCCATATGGCGTTTGTTCATTCCAATTTTCCTAAAGGAAGCAATGCGTCAGCAAAGCGATCTGAAATTTTTCAACCTTTTAAACGATTTAAGGTTCGGAAAAATTTCTGTCGAAAGTTCCCAAATATTACAAAAGAAAGTTGAATCTTACAATATCAACCGCAATACATATTTGACAACATTTCTCGTATCTTTTCGCAAAACAGCAAACCAAATCAACGATTTATTTTTGGATACCCTACCAATAACAGAAAGTAAAACTCATATCGCAATTGATCGGGAAGAAGGACAGGTTTTGGACTCGATGGAAAACTCACGAACATTTAAAACCGGCACCAATTTACCTTCGAAAGTTGTTTGTGTAAGTGGTGCTAAAGTGATGTTTTTGAATAACACTATGATATCGCTGGGTATATCTAACGGTACATGCAGTGTTATTGTATCTTTAATGGAAGATGGATACCCGAACATTGCATTCCCGACCTCTGACGGAATTAGGGTAAGTATTTATCTCCATATCCATAAAGCAAACAATACTCGAGTTCTAATTTGAAATAGATGGTAGAGGTCAAACCCGAAACATCATATTTTCGGAGCAATGGAATCAGATATTCTCGGACCCAACTGCCGATTCAAAATGCCTTCGCCCTTACAGTACACAAAACACAAGGATTGTCTTTAAATCATATTTGCGTCAATTTCGATGAAACGATTTTTTCCAACGGTCAAGCGTATACAGCGTTAAGTCGAGCAAAAAGATTAGAGGATGTTGAAATTATTTCGTTTGATCCGAAAGCAGTGAAAGTTGATTTGGAAGCTGTTAATGAGTATAAAAGGCTGGAGCAAATAGTATTGGTTTGAAATAATTTGAATTTAACGCTCGTAATTCTGTAATTTCGTTAATTCTTAAAAACAAAAAGTGTTTCAAAAGGTTAGGAGATACCCAAATACAAATTGTAAAACAAAACAAAAATACACAAAAACGGTAAAGAAAATCAAAAGTATGAAGAAATAGAAAACAAATATTTTGAACTATACTTGATTTTGTGTAATTCGTGCACGTTTTCGGTTTAACAATGCTTGAGCCAACAAGTCATCATCTTCACTGAAGCCTTGTATACTAACTTCATTTTGATTATTTCGTATCGATTCAATCTATAAATTAATAAGTTAGTTACTTTCAATATTGAAAGATTTCTACTTACTTTATCTTTGATTGAATCACCTATCATTTCGAGCAATCCGTTTTGATTTGCTATACTTCTACGAAACCAAGTATTCTTCATTCGTAAAAATGTATTGTTAGTAAATGAAATTCAAAACTTATAACAGTAAGAGTTTTTACTTATAACATCCGGATTAGAACATGTGAAATTTTTCGGTTTGATATATACGACAGTCTTCCACGCTGTCAATGTGTGCCAAATTGCTGTCGTTACTAAAAAGATAAAAATCGGTGTTATTTTCTCAAGAAACTCCGAGTCTTTAACACCTTTAGTCTTTATTCCTGAAAAATAGTTATCGTGAATGACCGATACTATTTCAGGTGCCCAGAAGTGACATCTAGCGGTCTATTTATATTAATATATCTTTAATAATAATTTAAGATAATCAGATTCCAAACCTCGTAATTTTCTGCATCGGTTATAAATCTGTCGTTCTCCAACAAATATAGAATTCTTTCTGATTTTTCTGATATCGAATCATAATTTGCAAACGAATACAGAAGACCTTTTGCAAAAAGCTTTTTGGTTTTATCAAGAAGATGAGATTTCACATTTGAATGTGTATTCCGTAACTATAAACTTATTAATACCAAACTGAATTCATATAATTGTCACTTACTATTAGATTAAGAACAGTGTTCATCGGAACTTTAATAACTTCACTTGCCAATGTCTCATTCCAAAACTTTGTAATCATAAGATTCAATCTGTCAGGATATGGAAACGGGTCCATAAGTATTGTGTTGGTTTCAATCCAGTCTCCGCATATTTCAAGCAAACGTTAGATCTCTGGAGATTGATCTTTGGCTTTCCGTTTTTGTTTAACCGACATTTCTGTTGTTGCTTCGCTTGGTTCATATTCGGTTTCCACCGCCTGATTTTTTTCCAGTGAACCGTTTGCTACAATATTGACAGAATTTTTTTCCAGCAATTCTTCCGGAACAGGGTTTATTGAAAAATTCTGCCTGACTCCTAAAATTGGACTAAATGTTGTAGATCTCCTTGACGATATAATTGTAGGAACATTATCGGTGGCTCGAATAATATCCTAAAATAAACATCAATTTTGAGTTTCAATAATAGATATTGAATTAAAATACCTTACTCGTTGCGATAGAGAATGAAGAAAATTCTTGATAATTATCTGATTTTTGATGCGATGAACGTTTTCGTGTAGTATGATTATCAAGAGCATTTAACCGATCAGATAATGAAGAAAGTCTTTTGTGATCCGAGTCTGTAGGTTTTGATTTAGAAGTGGAAGTTTGATTTTCTGTTGATTTGTGTTTTGATTTTATGGTAGAAATGTTCGATCGATGTCGACTACTTTCTGATGTACGTTTTTCTTTGACTCTGGGTGGAATTGGTGGTTCGGATTCAGAACTCTGATCGCTTGCGGTATCTTCTAAATCTTCATCAGTTTTTTCCGTCAAGGGAGGGTTTGCAAATATTGGAGGATGTTGTATATTATAAGTTCGATTGTTTGTATTATTAACTTTGCGGGATGATGATCGTTCATTATGGTTTGACATCTTTGAATATGAAAAATTCAAAATTCGCTTCAATATCTTGTGATTTAGCAAACAGTACTGACTCAATAGGTATATATATATTAAAATCATGAAATGCGATATATAAACTATTATAATATACCGTATTATAGAAGGTTTTAGGGAACATTTAAATTTTTTTGCATCCTGTATCTTATTCGTGCATCCTGGAACTTATATTGCATCCTAGAAACTATTCTTGCATTCTGTGAGTCAGTTTTGTCTTTTTTTTAAAAATTTGTTATATATGAAAATCGGGCGATTACCTGAGACTAGAATATAAAATTCTCGGTATTCACTGCATGTTAGGGATTGATCTGCAGTCCGGTTGTGAACTGGTGCGCTCCGATCATGCATATAACTCCGCGTTAAGTCTTGGGACGAATTTTCCATCCCGCAGTTTATTCGTGCATCCTGGAACTTATATTGCATCCCAGAACCTATTCGTGCATCCTGTGTGTCAATTTAGTCTTTTTTTTTTAGAAATTGTGACGTATTAAGATCGGGCGATTACCTGAGATTGGAATATCAAATTCTCGGTATTCATTGCCTGTTAGGGATTGATCTGCAGTCCGGTTGTGAACTGGTGTGCTCCGATCATGCATATAACTCCGCGTTAAGTCTTGGGACGAATTTTCTATCCCGCAGTTTATTCGTGCATCCTGGAACTTATATTGCATCCCAGAACCTATCCGTGCATCCTGTGTGTCAATTTAGTCTTTTTTTTTAAAAATTGTGACGTATTAACATCGGGCGATTACCTGAGACTAGAATATAAAATTCTCGGTATTCACTGCCTGTTAGGGATTGATCTGCAGTCCGGTTGTGAACTGGTGTGCTCCGATCATGCATATAACTCCGCGTTAAGTCCTGGGATGAATTTTCCATCCCGCAGTCCATTCGTGCATGCTGGAACTTATATTGCATCCCAGAACCTATTCGTGCATCCTGTGTGTCAATTTAGTCTTTTTTTTTTAGAAATTGTGACGTATTAAGATCGGGCGATTACCTGAGATTGGAATATCAAATTCTCGGTATTCATTGCCTGTTAGGGATTGATCTGCAGTCCGGTTGTGAACTGGTGTGCTCCGATCATGCATATAACTCCGCGTTAAGTCTTGGGACGAATTTTCTATCCCGCAGTTTATTCGTGCATCCTGAAACTTATATTGCATCCCAGAACCTATCCGTGCATCCTGTGTGTCAATTTAGTCTTTTTTTTTAAAAATTGTGACGTATTAAGATCGGGCGATTACCTGAGATTGGAATATCAAATTCTCGGTATTCATTGCCTGTTAGGGGTTGATCTGCAGTCAGGTTGTGAACTGGTGTGCTCCGGTCATGCATATAACTCCGCGTTAAATTCTGGAAATAATTTTGCATCCAGTAATATATACGGACATCCTGGAACTTATTTTACATCCTGGAACTTATTTTGCATCCTGGAACTTATTCGAGCATCCTGTTAGTCAGTTTTTTTTTTTTTTTAAAACTTTTTGATATATGAAAATCGGACGAATACCTGCAACTAGAATTTCAAATTTTCGATATTCGTTGCTTCTTTGTGGTTGATCTACAGTCAGGTTATCAAATTATTTGCAAAACATTTCCATAATTCCTTGTAAAATTTCATAACTAATTTTACTTCCTTGTTTTGATTCGGCAATCCCGGAACTTATTTTGCATCCGGTTACTTATTCGTGTATCTTGTCAGTCAGTATTAAGTTAATCGATATTCCAAAATATTAGCTTAATATAAGTCGTTGAGTATATCGTTAGCCTTGATTAAGGACGGGGATAAAACAAAAACAATTTTATTTATTTTATCATTAAACACAATCGACAAATTTAAGAAATGTTAAAATCATTGAAAAACATAAGAAATAAGCGTATATAAACAAATGAAAACAAATATTGAATGATTGAAATAGATTATATATTTAAGAAATGAACGTTGTATCGATAAAATAAAATAGAAAACGATAATTTAGGAACTTGAAAACAATAACGGATAGAAAATAACAATTTAGTAACTTGAAAAACATAACGAATAGAAAATAAAATCTAAACTAATTATTAGAAATAAATTGATTCATTCTTGAAACTTTGCATGAAATATGTTCAAAGTCTAAAAATGTCAATTCTCGTCGATGGCCGCTGATGTTCCTCCAAAGATCTGACCAATTCTCTTTCATCGCATTGAGAACACTGTCCAATATCGGTACGAGTTCTCTGGAATCTTCAGGATATTCTGCACGAGCAGTCGGTAGTTGTACATACGCCATTTTGAGACCACCGCGAGGTCCCTCCGATACAGCATGTAATATTTTATTCGCCAAATCGTTGATTGTCGGTGGTTGACAAATACCAATCTCAAACAAATCTCCTGTAACCATCCAAGGCAATAAACCACCTGACGCAAAGTAAGGGATTTTCCATGATACAATCAAATCCATTACACTTTTGAAAGTCGGTTGTTCTTGCCGAGAAATATAGCCATGAATAAAAGTTGCAAGACTGTTCGACTTTCGGGAAAGTGATGTGAGTACCCGATCAACTTGAGTTGGCTTCATACTCAACTGTCCGTAGACTCGAAGCATCAGAAAGCTTGGTTCGGTATTTGGATTCAATTCTCTTTGCTGATCTTTCCAAATCGTTTGAGCAGTAAGAAAATCTTCAGAATTTTCACAATCACTGTAGAGTTCAATCAAGGATGGAAATCGCCAAGCCGTTCTGGAAACAAGACACTTTCGAACTAAAGTCGTCAAGTTGTTGATATCACCAAATTCCGGAAGTATCGGTGAGCCATCAGGATTGAAATTATTGACAGATAAGCTTTTCATCAAACTTTTAAAGCTTGGACCTTGAGTCCTGGCATATAAAAGCTTATCCATATCGACGTTCTTTCCACATGCTGCACGAACATATCTCAAAGTTGTCGAATTTGTAATATTTGAGGTTTTCGTTACAAAATATTGTATCGGCGATGGGTGATTCAGAATCTCAATAAAGATTTCGTTGATTTTGAGTACTGAATAAAAACATTTCAGAAGAGAACACGCTCCGTCAATCGCTGCCTGATTACCAATAATTGGTTCAAGGCTTTCATTCAATCGATCAAGATCAAGGTCGTTAAGTTCGAATGGTTGTTGAAATGGTCTGATGCGTTCGATTTTAGATCGCTTAACATTTCTCGATTTAGGATTTTCAAACCGTTTACGTTTGTTAGAATTTCCGACAGGTAAGATTGTTGAACGTTGAGCAGCCCGATTTTGTTCTATCAAAAATTTAGTATAAATGTACAACTTATCGATAATATTTTTAACTTACGTGTATTGGTACCAAGAAAAGAATTAAAGGTTTTGGTGCCACGTCGTTGTAATAATTGATCAATGTCAAAATGTTCGGAAAGAATTTTGGCAAGCTGATTTATAGCGGTAATTGCTGGCCTAATACTTTCCTCCTCGGTAATTATGGATACAATATTATCCATAGTTTGGCTCGATAACTTATTACTAACATCGTATCGAAATGCAAAGTCATATACTTGTGGTACAAACAAATATAATTCCGGAGTCAATTTTTCGTCGTTATCTGTTGACATTTAGTATGAAATTAATATTTAAAATATGAAAGGAAAATATACCAATTTGTGATAATGCATTGCAAATTCTTTGGAGAAATTCAACTCTCCCAAAAATATGTCGGTAGTGATAGTGACGATTGGTTACCAATGGTAACGTAACATCAGTAATATCAGACAAACGAGTTCTTTTGAATGATCCGATAAATGCATATACAGGATAAAAAACTGTCATGCCCCAAAGTACATTACGGAAAGCTTTCGCTTTTAATGCAGGTGAAGAAGTATGCCGTGTATCAGGTTCGAGATTAACATCAAGATGCCAACCGCTATGATGTTTATCACCTAAAATCTCCTCTGCTGAAAAGAAAAGCTTTAGGCCAGGTTCATTCGATCCATTTAAGGGATCTACTAATTCATCAATTTTTTTCCGTAAACGATAGGCAATGCTGTTTGGCGGAAGAATGATATTTGATGTCGGGTTGAACAGATCAAAAAAATCATGTTCTAACATTTCCATATGTTCGAATGCTAATTTGCCTTGAGCTGCCAACAAACCACCTTTAAGAGGATCTAGCTGACTTGATTTTTTTGAGAGCGTTCCCAAAATACGGGAATATGTAGTTGAGAAATCAGGAATGAAACGAGATACATTTTGTATTTCGGTTTGATCAACAGGTGGAAGGAACGGGATTTGATCTTTTAATTCTTCGCGCATTGAGAACGTATGTTGATTCTTCGTCATTAATGATGTTCCCTTGAGCGTCGCAATATGGTTCTCGATAACTCCTAATTCAAATAGTTGGAAGGAATTGATATCATCAATCGTACGTACTAGAGGTTCATTATCGTTATCATTGTCGACACCGATATGATCGAAAAGATTTTGATTCTTTTCTGAATTATATTCAAAGGTTTGAATATCAGAAATATCATCGATATCGTTTTCATCTTCCGCAATATCAATCAAACTCTCATAAATCGGATTTTCAATATTGGAATTAGTTATCAATGATGTTATCGCGTTCGAATTTGATTCGGTGATGGATGATTTGAAAGGCGTATGACGTACAAAGTTGATTTTCTGACGGAGCTTGTCGATAAAGGTATCAAACAAAGTATTATCAAAAATATCATTGATATTAATAGTTTGATATGGGGTAAGCTGTTTAGCGATTACCGCTTGTGATTCCGGTGGTGTAAGATTTTCCAATTCGACAGAATTGTTTGGAGAAACGGAATAGGGAGTGAGTGTATACTGCGAATCATTATCCGGAAAAGAAATCGAATTATATTGAGCTTCAGCGTCAATATTGATTGCAATGTGTTTTCCAAAAATATTCTTGATATTCGGAATATTAACTCTTAAAATCTCTCTAGCTCTCCAAGTATCATAGTTTTCCTTTCCACCAAAACTAGGAAGGGCATCAGCCATTAGGTTAGGCCGTTCCGGTGCAGAATTGACAAAACTACCGTAATTCCGATAAGTAGTATTCTTCATTGTCGGTCCTTTAGGATAACAGATAATGTTGAAACGGGTATCTTCAGTATATCCGCAAGGGAGAGATGAGGAATCGTTGTTATCTAGAACCATCGGCATTCCGGTGTGTTCTTCGATACCCTGAAAAATAATCATCGACATTGGTTTGACGGGAATCAATGTATCAAAATCAGGGAACCAGAAGTAACCAAGCGAAGTTGAATCTTTGATGACTGACACGTTAAGTGCAAGCGAAAAGGAAAGTTCATCGTCCGTAGAATCACAATGAACACCAGCAGCTGTACCTTGCAATCTCATCGTGTTGGTACTACGGTTGATTTGCGATGAAGTGAAATAGGTTTGTGAACCAGTAGATGGCCCAAAAAATGGTGGATTGTAACGTTCATGTCTTTCCTTAGTGAATTGATTATAAACGTCGTCCATAACAGTTGACATGACACGTCCACCAAGATCGCCGAGGATACAATGGAATTTGGCCAACCATTGCATATATTCCGAATCTTTAGTTTTCTCCCAAGTTGAATGTACCGCAGGGGCCGCCGCGTAAGAACCTTGAAGAGCAATTCCGGTCGTATAGGCGGTATTCGGACCATCACGGTTACCGGTCATATGATGATCGAATTTCTGGAAACCTGACTCCCATTTCTGCGACGCGTAATCGAATTGGCCACGTACGTGTTCAGCAAGATTTTGATGAAGACGGAGAATTTCAGGATCATTGAATTTGCCGATATCGCTTTGGTCAAGATACATAAACTTAAACCATTCACCGATAACTTGGTTGTTCTCATCGAGTAACTGACGATAATGAGGTTGACCACTGACTGCAACGTGAAGATCAGGGTAATCGTCGCGATTGAAAGTGCATTGAGACATCTTTGCCTTAATCTCTTGCAATTGAGTGACGGAAAGCTTCGTACCAGCCTTATGAAGAATCGGTTCATTAAGCCGGAACTTAATTTGATTATTCATAAGACTCCCGTAATGAGGTTGAAATGTCTATAATAAAAGTTAGTTATAAAAATTAAAACAAAGAATTATAGAAATAATACCATAACTAATAAAATTTTTTTTTATTTTTCGTAAATTTTTTTCCGTTATTGAAAATACGGTTTTGGTATCGGGAATACGGTTTTGGTGTCGGAAATACAGTTTTGGTATCGAAAATACGGTTTTGCTATCGAAATACGGTTTTAACTTATTTGATTAGCATTACTAAGCAATTACATAAGCTATTACATAAGCTGACAGGGGTAGAGGGAGCAAAAAGGGCGTATATACGCCCTTTTTTCTCCCTCTACCCCTGTCAGCTTATGTAATACCTACAACACTCACCTTTCACGGTCGGGGTGCAAGTTAATCTTGAAAGAAAGTGGGCGGTCGCACCCTTTAATATATCCTCGCTCCCATCAACCCCTAACCCTCCCCACACCACTCCAGAATATTCTACTATATTCGGTCGCCACCGCGCCCTTGCGCCCTTGCGCCCTTGCGCCCTTGCACAGCGCCCACCACTCCCAGCAAAGCGCACCCGATACCTAGTTCTTATAAATACATACAGATAGTGATTAAACCTATATATGTGTTCAGTACGGATACCTACATATACCTAGTCGTCATACTGTAGCGCTGGGGTCTCAGTATCGTTTAGAGTGGCTTGGAATCGGGTAAGCTCGGAGTTTTCGAACTTACCTTTGAGTTTCCCAATATATTAATAGACTATATAAATATAAAGTGATTCATCCCTCTTGTCCTTGTCAACTCCCTTCTCAACTCAGCCAAGAGTTCGTGAAGTGCGGGGTCACTCCTCACTACAGACTTTGCTTTGGCTTCATTTGCCAAGGCAAGTCAAAATCTCCTCCTTTTGGACATCGAGCTCGAAGGTCACCTCTCAAAGACCACCAGCACCACACTCCTAGGTTCCCTCTTCATTGACGGACCCGCCCTCTACGCACTCACGAGGCGTTCAGCTACTCCCCCTTACCATCTGCCTTTGGAGAGGATGTGCGGTTGATGGCAGACCATAGTCATTACAGTTGGAGTTGCAAGATGCATGTTCTCTTTGGTTACTCTGTTCTTTTGTGTTATCCGGAACTTTTTTCCTTCTTTCTCAGGTGGGGGGTTCCTTAGTCATCAATCTTGTAAGAGGAGTGTGGTTGGTAGCATACCATAGTTACTATAACGGGGGGCCTGGCATCGGGGATGGGTCTTTATGCCATAGTCTATGACTGCATGCAGTAATTGTACCTAGAAACAATTTATATGATATAAAAAAAAAAAAAAAAAAAAAAAAAGTATAAAGTGATTATAGATGATTTAGGTATTTCCTGTGCTAGGATTCTAGAGAGTTAATGTAGGTCTTTTACCAAGATACTAGCTTGTGCTTCTATCCTTACTCAGCTAACATATCTTGGCCACTTCGATGCTACTGAATCCTTCGTCTGTGCCCGCGATTCACAACAACGCTTTGCCGAAGAAAATGCGTGGTGATAGAAACAATTCTAACGATAAGCGGTATACACCACGCTACTTACGTTTAGCCCAATTTTGCGTCGCCGGTCGCTGGGGTCTTGTATGGTAGCCACAAACCGCCACAAGTCCTGAATACAGACAAATTAGGATCCGATACACTCCTATCCCTTAACCCGTTGCTGACCGCGGGTTGAACCTGAGTGGGAGATCTGTTACCTGATAAGAAAGATAAGAAGACCTGTTAGTAGAGCCACACCAACCCCCCCCTTTCTTTCCTTAGTGGACCGGCACCCTGGTGACGGTTTGAGGGATAGCTCTAGTGCCATTATACAGCGCCTAAACTTGGCTCCACGAAAAGTAAGTAAATGTACGTAGTTAAGCCAAAGATGATATAAGTCAATTTGGGAATTTGACGGAGCTAGCAGTACTGGTGACTTCAGCGAGAGACACGTCTGGCTTAGGCTGAATGATTGTATGTAGTGTTGTAACGTTCAGCGGGTTTATAGCCGGATCTGGCCAAACATATACTCTAGAGTACATGTATGCATACATTTTTTTTTTTTTAAATCATGTAGTTTTATTGATTCTAGGTACAAAACTCTGCATGCAGTCATAGACTATGGCATAAAGGTACCTCTCCCTGACTGTACGACAATGAAACACATCCCCAGAAGAACAAAAGAGATAAAGAAAACATACTGCACTTCCTGATAATGTTTGGGATAACAAAGAAAAAGAAAAATCGACAGTCTTTGGCGGCCCATATCCGACATAAGAAATCGCCCTTCGCGGTTTTTAGTAACCTGTTGCCCTTAGGGGACTTTTGTTGAGTGCGTGGCTTCGCGGAGTGAAGTAGGTTTGTACTGGCTAGGTGGTGGAGGGGGGGGGAGCTGAGTGAGCTTGATGTCAGTCAGACCCTGACAGGAGCGGAGAGATTTGGTTCTTCCTTGGGAAGTTTGTCCTAGTGGCGGTAATGTAGGCTCCTAGGGCTAGTGTGTTGGCTGGGTTTCTCCAGATATCGTCAAGGGTATTGACGTCGGGTAGGTACTGTGAGCGTTGGTCTGCTTTTGCTCTGCATGTGAGGATGGCGTGTTCCGTGGTTTCAGGGCCTATGCATGTATGCATACATGTATCCTTCGACCTTACATAGTAGACTGGACCATTACGTGTATGGTGTGTCGATCTTAAATCAAAGCTGGGGAAGGTACAACCCCGGCAACTAGATCGATTACGCATAGGATATAAGACCCGAGCATATATAGCGGTGCAAAAAGAATTTCAACATAATTTTTTATAAGGAACTTACGGTGGGGGTGTTGTGTCCTTTGTTTAGACCAGATATCAATTAGAGCTGTATTTGATTCAGGCGCGGCCGAGGTCTGGCCAAGCTTGTCATATATGTACATGTATATACGTGGAATTTGTCGAAGCTTAAGCGATGGGAAACATCCGGATTTGAGAGACATCTATGTATGTACACATCGGTACTTGTAGTTACGAGCCAATTGTCATCACTTGTGTGTTACAAGATGCCGAATCCCCGCGCGCATCACCGAAGATCACATCCGTGCACCGCGCAAATCCAGTGTGAGAGAGCTGGTCAAATATCCAAAAAGGAGGAGATCTGCGCATATTTCCTTGATCGGGACATGCACATCATCCGCCCTGCATGTTCCCAGAAAAGCGCAGCGGCTACGTACCTTATCCTCATTCCTGTACTCTACGTACTCGAAGCAATCTTTTTCATGTGGCAGAGCTTCGATTCTCCAAGGAAACGGCAGTTGCAAAGCTTTGTTGAGTGAGTCTCTGACTCCGATTCTGGGTGGCCGGTGCACGGTTAGCAGCCTAATTTTCATAGCTTCTTGGGTGAAAAATAACAGACTCCTAGCTATTGCGTCTATGAAAGTTTTGATGACGGGATGATGGCGGAGAAGTATGGTACAGGTAGATCCCTATGGAACTACATACCTACCTACGGAATGTGGGGTCGGGGTTAATACCGAGCGCGCCACGAGCTCTTGGCCTTGAGCTTGTTGCGACATCTTTCAGCTCTGGGAGGTAAGTAAGTACATATGTATGGTGCCCCCCCCCCCCCGTGTTTTAAAGGTATGACAAAAAGTACCGCTGTGTCACCTTTGAGAGTGTTTCCATTATAATAATAATGCGCCAAGAATACCGAGAGAACGGTGCCGTGATGATGATCGACGTCACACTACTATCCCTTCGAGTGTTTTCAGGACCGGGCACTAGGTGGAGGTTATCCCCCAGGGAGGTGTTTTACTGGCTAGTAAACCTAACCCTCACTGTCCGAACCTGTTTTGGTGTGAAGTCACCCCTTGTGACTTCTTCTTTACTTGTTCTGGCGATTCCAGAGCCTGGAAAGAGTTGGATTTCATGGTTATCACCACGCCGTCGTGGGCCTAATAAGTCTTCATCTGCGGAACACACGGAGGATAGAAACCTATTCTTTTGGCGGTTCTATTACAAGGAGAACTCACTCCCGCGGTCTCAGCTCGGCCCCGTTACTGTCGGCCTTTTTACGGGACGCGTTACGTGTGTGTCATGGATTCAGCTATTCTATTGCGTGCAGTCGTTATTTCTCTCAGTCGCACTACATGCGCCATGCACATGTGAAGATATATATGCTAGTGTTGCCGGTTCAAGCCGGAACTATATACACGAGCAGAAGCCATGAATGAGGTGCAATTGCGCAGATGAAACAAAAAGCAACGACCTCAAGATCTCAGATCACTTGTGTTATTGACTGAAGAGAGTAAGTGCATTATGCGGTTTGTGGTTTACAATCGATCATGCACTCGAGCCCCGGGTCTCGTTCAATTGGGCTGAATGTAGAGATAATGCGTGTCAATCCTTGATATCGACTCGAATGCATCCTTTTCAGAAAATAGGCTCTGCAGCAGCAGTACGCCGAAGTTCTGGTCTGTGTTACGAGTTTATCAGACCAAAGGGGAATTTAGCATGTCCTTGATGGCACCGATCGTGATGGACGAGTCTTCTCAAGCTGCGGCATGTGCTTCGGATTAGTCAATTGCAAAGGAGACCACGAAGACTAGCTCCAACTGCAGTATGATCAGCTAGCTGTGCCTAGGACTATTGCGAAGAAACTGCGAGACTGTTCTGTTGGAGAACATGATGGTTTCAGCCTTAAATAATTGAGAGCGAGTTGTCTATATAAACCGCCTCCACCCACCTCCGGAAAAGTCCAGCTTCCACAATTCTCCACGACAAACCATCATGAGCGGAGTATCAAGTAACATCGCTGCCCGCACCCCTCTGTGCTCAACCCTCTTCTTCCACACCTCCCACGGTCTAACGGAGGTACACCCTGTGGTGTTTAACCTCGACGCTGAGGGGAATCTCTGGCGCAGAGGATGGGGTGGAGAAGAGAAAATTGATCTTAGTGAGGACGCAAAGCCTCATTCCACTGCAGGAATGGCGGTACTCGGGCGGGGAAGCGATATCCACAGCATCTTCAATGTACGAATTCTATCACCTTCATATACCGTCTTTCTAGCTTGCTCACATTACCCATATCTCAGATGCGCCTCTACTACACAAACAAGGATGGCAAGATCTTCGAGGTAAAACACACTTGAGCCCATCTGAACGTAGAGAGAGTGACCGCTGACAAGATTGGACAGCACTGCTACACCCAAGGGCGTGGTTGGTACCAGGGCGCACTGACTGGCCAGTTCTGCGCCTTTCCAGGCTCAGGGCTTGGGGTCCGTGGCAGCGATAACGGAGCCTTGACGTGGCTCTTCTACCAAGACCCTGAAACGTGCGGGATCCACACTATGTTCCGTAGCTCTTTGGATGGTGCATTCGAGCAAACGAGTGTCTGTTTTGCACCGGGGATGAAGTGTACAGAGATAGCGGTTGATCCAAAGGGGAATGCGGGGGTGTTCTACCAGAAGCCAGATGGAAAGATCACGCAGGCCGAAGCCACTACGCCTTACGGTAAGACCTCGAGAACCATGGTGCGGTAGTGCACGTACTGACTATGAGCCCACGCGACTTCAGAGCCGTTTGCTGGCAACACCATATATCCACCCGGTACAGCCATCGCGACTACGAAAGACAAGATGTTTTGTGTTACAGGAGACAACAAAATTGAGGTCAATATATATGATCCCGACAGCCACAAGTGGCAGCCGCCTACGGTGATTGAGGGCGTGAATGTGATCCCAACGGCACCACTGTCAGCAAACATGCACCAGCCTCCGAGAGATGGCACATATACCATCACGATAATAACGCAGAAAGAGAAGCATGAAATTACGAAGATTGGGTACACGGATCCGAAAAACGTTGTTATTGCCACTGTCAACTAGGTTGGTGGTGATGGGCTTTGACTCTTTCTTTGGGAGGGCCGGTTGGAATTCCGATGGGATTACTACATGTAGCTATAGCGCTATATGACTATGTGTCGTTGAAATTGATTGATTTTCGAAATGGAGAGAGTAGTGCTTTTGAACATCATTTGTCGTGAATGTGCTCTTCGCTGTCTCCAGTTGAAACATGCTACTTGGCCCACTCCACAAATCCTTTACTTTATGTCGCTTTGGTCACCGAGTGCTCCAACATAATAATTGTGTAGTCGTAATACAGGGACGTTAGGGTTCTTGGCGGTGTAGTCACAGGTTATCACTCGCCCAGGAGGCATCCACCAATAAAGTTCTCTCCGCCAAATTGGTTCCTGTGTGTAGCACTAATATGTCGACGGCACTCGCTGTAACTAGTATTAATCCCTCCCTGATACAGGAATAACGCGGAAACATAATCGAAGCATGGCTTGCTTGATCAATCAATTGATCATAAAGATACAATCTTTAATAATCCAGGCCTGGATCGACGAGTAGGAGGGAAAGCTCGACTCGAATAGACTTTTGAGAACTCGAGTTGCCCAATAATTGCTTGAGCTTCTTAAAGTAATTCCAAATGATCTATTTGTAAAAAATATGTTGTTAGGGTTAGGGTTTGATAATCGGAAATGTTAAAATTGAATTACCAAGGATATTATTGGAGTCTTTGGTAGTAGTTCAAGGCACATGAAGTAACATTTGAGAATGTTGGGGCCAACCTGCTAGCTCGCGAGGATGACTACTCGTGGCTGCTCTAGCCCCAGGCTCGAGACTTCAAAGACTTGGGCTAACTTAATTGTCTCGTCGGCCGTACGTGGCCACTCTAGGGTGCCTGAATCGTAGATTTTGCCTGACCAATGACAGGGATGTCAGGTGAGTCTCAGAAGGCTGTAATCAGCGAGGCATGGTAGGTTTGGTTTCCCCTATTGCATAGCTAGAACAGGAAAATCGCAGACTAATATATATATAGACAAGAATTACATACTATACTTGTCCAATGGTCTTTGCAATTGGATTGGAGGTTTCACTCGCGGTCGGGGCGGCTAGGATGCGGTAAAAACCGCCTTTTGATTAAGGAGATGGCGATAGATTGATTCCGGATCCCGAAGTGTACGGGGTTAGTTCCCCAATGAGCTCGTGGGCAGATCATAAGGAATAAACTTGCTTATCGGAGGATGCTATTTAGAAGATGAATTGAAATCCAATTGGAATATAACGAGTCGACCAACATGTGTAGATACTTGTTCTGATAAATTTAGAAACACGATTATACCCGATAGTGTGAAAGCCCAGGCCATGAGGCCACCACTAGACCTTGAAATAACAACGATTTTGGAAATATCACAAAAAGAAATAATAATAAAGGGATCCGAGTCTTCCAACACCAATTCCGCACCACACACTGAGATCAGACCACATGATCTCTTTCAGCTTCTCTTCTTCTTTTTCCGATTACGTCTTAATCTTTTGCGCCCAAGGTATCCGTATTGCTCATCCGTGTCAACAACCGATCCCTTCGCCGCATCCCCGGGTGCGAGAACCACAAGCTCCAGGTGCTCTCCTCCCGTATCTCTAATCTTGATGACCTTGCTCAAGGTCTCGTCTAGGCTGATACCAGCACAAGTATTTTCGACAACATCGGTAGTAGGATCGCTGCCCAGGCATAGCGTGGCATACTCCGGTATTGACTTCCAGGACTGAATGATAGTGCCCCGATAACATTGCCATATAGATCCCAACAGAACTAAGAAAACATGGGTCGAGAGTATTACAACTCCAAAGATGCCTGTGCGGGTTGATATACGGAACCCGTAGACGTAATAATTGGCGCTTATAGGCGGGTAAGTGAACTTTGTGTAATCTAATATGGGTTCTGGCATCAGATAATCTGGCAGAATCGGGCCGCCATCGCGGGTATGAGTGGGTATTCCCGTATATTGCGTTGAAGAATGTGGCATGAAAAGTAGAAATGAGAGATATGAGCCGCCGACAAGTAGCTCAATCGGGTGAATATACTCGTCAAAGGCACTACTATCCTTGCCAAACTTGTAATTACTGATGAGGCCTTGTGCGTATGCACCTAGTGGACTGCTTGTATCATTCGTTGGCTGTAATTGGGCACGGGGGGTGTATGTCCTCTGTGGTCCTGTGGGAAGAGGGGCGACACGAGGCGGCCGCCTGCTGCGAAGGTCTTTATCCCAACCAGGTTCAACCATTGAGTCGAGCCAATTTTTATGATACAAAAGACGTTTTGGTGGTGCCTTTTCGATAGCACCGTTTTCATAATATGAGAGATAGTCGTGGAAAATAGTCCAATCTGGGCTAAATTCTAGGTCGACCGACCAGCCGCTCGAAGAGGCTGTAGCTGTCTTGAGCATGGCAGACGTCGAGCAGACAAGTAAGATATGTTCATCGCTATCATCTTCGAGTGAAAACTCCAATAACGTTATCATCGAATCACTGAAGAGCTCCTTCCTTAGCAACGGTCGCCCTTCTGTCATCCAGACCGTAACATTCAGGGGGTCGCTCGAATCCAGGGTGACCTGGAACAGAGGTATCAAGTCCTGGTTGCTCCTCAGCTCGCCATCCAAGCTTCCCGGAACAGTATCCTGATAGCACCATTCTGGTCGCGAGGTATTATCACTCCGGCGCGAAATATCGCAGGTCTGCTTCTCTCTGGCCCGGCACACTGTGTACGATTCGATTCCTGTGAGGTCTACGACAAACTTGTCATCTGCACCTCGACAAGTGGCACAGGTTTGGTTCGTTGTCCTATGGAGCTGAGCCGATTTATAAGCGCCAATCCTATCGCCATACATCAGTCCAGTGAACGTGGTACCGCCGTTGCCGGTCCAGTTGAAAATATCACGGTCCAGGACGGTGGAGGTATTGACCGAAATCCAGCTAGAGCCATCATAAAACCTATGATTCGAGTTTTCCCTTGAGAGCGTCGCCCCATCCAGGCCGTGCCAATACTCCTCGGGGCGATAGTAAGATGTGGAATAATTCTGCATGGGATCGTATGATGTATAATTTAGCGTTGAAGGATCTGAACTATCGAGATAAGTATCATAACTAAGATACCAATCAATTAGGATATGTGGTTGGTGCCCCGGTACCAATATATCGAGGCGCTTGTGAGTGCTATTGATCGTTAAGCTTGTTTGGTAAAACCAGTCCTGGCGGGGTGTCATCAGCACTGCGCTGGCTGGCCCCGACAATGAGCATAAAAGGCAGCCCACGAAGAAAAAGGCTAAGAGGGGTGTTAAGCTCCTTCTTAATCGCTGCTGCTCACTGGGGGGCTCAGATTTGCCCCTCCACCCACTCCCCCTACTAGGACCTCCTCGCAGCCCAGAGAGGCAATAGCGTGCGCCCACCCAAAACTCACGTGAGGTTAGTAGTGAAAGGTTGTAGAATAGGGTCTCGGAACCCAAGAGCCCCAGTAGTGTGCCATTGTTCATCAGACACAACTGGATCCACTGCCTTGCAATGTTTGCCAGACTGCTAATGATGATCATCTCGTGGAGCTTTGCTGCTAGCTGTAACGCCCCAATGATGTTTCTGGTCTGCCGCGTGGTCTTGCCGACTTCTGCGCCAATGGAGTACTCAGAAAAGTTCAGGAAGAACAGTACCCCTGTGCCGAGGCATGATATGATTGCTGGGATATGCCAGTATACGCATCTGAGAGTTTTGCTTGAAAATACCGACTTCTTTTTCTCCACATTAGGCGTTATGGAATAGCTCTTGACTACATTCTCAAACAAAAGACACAGGTTAGCCACTATATGGATACATAGAATCCACTAATATATGGTTTTCGGTATATATATCCCGGTGCTTACGAACTTCTTTGATACAAGGGCCATTCCCATGGCATACGAATATCTCCAAGACTCTTCATCTATCACACATCCGTCCGTCGTCTAATAGAATTGGTTCTCGCCCTAATCACCTCTGTGGTGTTAGATTGGGTCGGGAGAGTGGGCACGCTTGCGCTCTTTTTTTGGTGAATTTGTGAAATCAGGGTGAGGAAGCACGTACCAGTATTTGATTTGAACAGCTCAACGGGGTGTTTATACAAGGGAGGAGGAGGGTTTAGGAGTTATATCTGCGAGATTTGGTGCCTATACATACTAAAATGAAGCCCTGTACGCGGATACCCCGCCCGGCAAAAGTCTGTTTTCTTTTTCCTTTATCCTAATCGTGGAAACAGGGATCTGCACGTCACATTTCCACAATAATTCTACCAGTATCCTTGGACGGATGAAAATTGTCAGCTATCACTAGTCTAATGTACCTACTCTACATAGCAATTGTTGGATTGATTGGTTCTATTGTTATTGCCAGCTGTACGTAAAAAACAAGATAATTTCCTTACTAAGTGGTGCACAGTCCAGGTCGCGAATTTGACAACTTTCATCCACCCAAGGGATACATGTATGAATATTGGGATGCCTTATCAAAGCAGAAGTGGCCCGGTGTCCCCACGTAAGAGTAGAAAGATTATCTGTCGCTTACTAGAAGGTATTGTAGTTTGCTTCCTACTCGAGTGTAGGAGATAGAACCGGGGATTAGGTTGTATGGCAGAGCCGTACGACCCCATACAAACCACCACATTCTCTAGTACTTGATCCTATGCAAGGAAACAAAAACTTACTTTGTTTTGTCGTGTTGCTGCAAGTCGCCCCCGAAACCCAGCGATACGTAGTCGTGGAAATAGGCATGCATGTCTCATGTGAGTTCTGCTTTTTCGCCACAAAAATGGCTATGGTAAAAGTGCACAAAATATCACTAATAAAAGTAAATATATATGGAGTAGACTGTTACTGTAAAATAGACTCTTTTTTCTACAGACACCATCCCGCCACAGGACCGAAAGCAGAATCCCAAGACTATTGTACCTATATATGTACCTATGTGCGATAGAGCGGTCTGTCCTGTATAGTTGAACTACATTTATGTTTATGTATCTATATACTCCAGAGTAGAGGGTTTTAGCTACATAAATTACATGTATGGCTTGAGAAGCTATGGTGGGTAGGTGTGTAAACTTCGGCGTTTGCAGCCAATCAATCTATAGAAATTGGGAGATCTACTCCCATAATGGTACTAGCGCCTAGCCCAACGGTGGAATTTTCTCTAATTCCCATACAAAAAAGGTTTCTCTGAAGTTGACACACGCACCCCCTATGCCTTCTCGCGCCATAGGCTGGAAAACTAAATCCACATTGGTCAAGATGACTAAAGGTTAAGGGTCGGTACTGCCCTTCTCCACCAAAAACTATTTGCTGTCTCATATATTTGCTATCTCCTAGGGGTTTGGCTCTCAGAATACGCTAACGACATAACGAGGCGCGGCTGTGCGTACATGTATGTATGCATCTGCATTGAGTGGAGTATTTGTGAGAAAATGACAAATCAACTGCGCACAGAGGGAACCCAACTTCAGCTGCATTAGTTTGAGTCAACTGAGAGCCTCATTTGCCTGGACTCTGAACAGTATGTTATCTGTAAACCCATAATTATGTAATTGGTTCGGAGGTGGAAATCTCTTATGGGTGGGTGTGAGAATTTAAACCCCGCTTAACAGCAATAGACCGCTAGCTTCACTGAGCTGCTGCTGCTGCTGCTGTTGATGCTGCTCATGGTGTCCCTGGCCTTTTGATCGATATCAATATTTCATTCCTACTAGCTAACTATTGAAAACCCCCAACCCCATAGATACATGATCAGGGAAGTATTTAACTCACAGATTGAGGTGCCATAGCGCAACACTGAATTTAGGTGTTCTGCTCGGTAGCGTAATTGAGAAGCTGCGCAGGCGCAGTAATATACACTTGTCTCGAACCATACCCAACTCGGTTTAGTGTTGGTTGGTGGCGGAAAGGAAAAAGAAAGTAAGAGCCTCACTCACCTCGAACTCCGACTGGCATGTTCCCATTTACCGCTTTTGTAAATTTCTTATATGTTCGTTCAAGGGAGAAAGGTGTCTTGCGCTGCGCCGCCCTGCGAAAGAACTGATTAATTGAATACGCCCAGTTATCGCCGGGAGGAAGGTACATTTTGATTGTGTGTTCATATTCTATCCTCACCTGCTCACGTAGCATACCTACGGCGGCTCGTAACTACCAAAGTGCAATTAAGGATTTCGGTTGCAACGAGACAACGAAAACCTAACAACCCGCCCACACAAAAAAAAAAAAAAACTCTGCCGGTGATTTAATTGTAGACATATTAAATAACTTTAGTTAAATACAAATAAAAAATTACTACTCCCAATCTGAATCTTCCTCTTGACTTATCAATGGTAGGGGAAGTCCGGGAAAATTGGGGAACCAAATTTTTCTAACTCCGTTGAAGCCAACATATCAGGCCTTGGTAACATCCGCTGTGCTCGTGCAACTGTTATATCGAAGCCAGAAAGCTTGACACTCAGTGGAGAGATGGATGAGATATGTATGTTCTAATTCAATACAATAATCAGCCTTCCTCATACGCGTCGAAGGGACATAATAAAGTTGGATAGAAGACAAACCGACGACTTTAGGTCACGATGGCACAGGTCCATGGCATGCATCGCTTCAAGCGCTTTTAGTATCTGGGTAACTACTTCCCGGCAGTGTTCCTTGGCCCTGACTTCGTCCTTCTCAACGTACGACTGGAGGTCACCCCCACTAAGGTATTCCATGGCGATCCAGATGGTCCCTTCCCTCTGGTTACTGTACCATCCAAGGAATTTGGCGAAAAAATCGGGATGCTGCGCGGGGGGTAGCTCTAAATTAGCTAATCAGGGCCCAGCTTTGGATAGAGAAGCGTACCTCTCGCAGTGCTATCAACGGAGCCAACTCCCTCTTGAGTGAGTTTTCATAAGTACGTTTGACCATACGATACGATTTTTTCCCAGGGCCCTTGCTACTATGGAGAAAGTATGTGTCGTATTCGCGCCCAAGAGTGGAGCCGGTCTTCCAAGCCTCTTTCTCGTTGCGGCAGTCGGTGTTTATAACAACGCCTTTGTGAAACTCTGCGTCATATTTGAATTGACTGAGGTCCGGGTCTCTCAAAGGTGACGCCATTTCGAAGTAGCAATGTAGATATCTAGACTGGAAGTTCAAGGTCTCTAAACTGTTACTGTAGGTCGGGTTAATTGTGAGGGCGAGAGTGCGATACTTATGCGAATCTGATGTATGCACTGCTCGTAGTTCCGGAGTGTTTTTGGACGCGGTTGGGTCTGCAAATGGGCCTAAACCGCGCATACATAATTTGTTGGCATGCAAACCCAGAGTTTGGAAACGTAAAGTAACTACGAGTAGAGCTAGCTTGTAGGTTTGTCAGGATAGTAACAAGAGTCGGTACCTGATGCAATACCCACCCTAGGGCATAGCGATAGAGTGTTTTAGTTGGTGCTAACTTTGTTGATTCTTCCATACACCATACTTATGGCACTCTGACGTCCAAACATTGTTTGGAAATGCATCTAGCAACTATTCTAACAGCGCTTCCCTACATAGATTGCCATTTCCCTACAAACCAGTCAAAAATCCTGGCAAATATCGCATGCGAGCCTTAATCATGATGCCGTGGCAATCTATAGTTTAGAAGTTCCCCATTGTACTTATGGGCTCTGAATATAGCGCACAGTTTCGGGGGTAATGCGTTGAAAGCCGTACCATGGTGCCACTGATCGAGAGGACCGAAAGTTGCGCTCGATCTGAGCCGGAATGATTGATGCTCAATCTGAAGAGACACTCCTCTTCAGTTCAATTGATTATCCCTGAGGTAGAGTGTTTAAGCTCAATTGACCTTTTTCCTTCAAAAGAAATGCAAAGAAAAAAATATGGGGCCAAGTGTCAGATCTCGATGAAACTAGATCAGTCCCAAAACTATTGATCCTAGGCCTGATCATAACCTCGTTGGCTTTAGCAGAATAAATTTAAAATGTTGCGCGATATTACCGAACAGCTTTACCTACCTCCGTTGAGAAACAGACCAATTACCTGTGGCCCCGCCTATAAGTGCAATTCTAGAGATACACCTGGGGCCTTGCTCAGTCCAGCTTAGAATATCGAGCTAAGAGTGGTCCAATACAGCCGCACCTTGGTATGTCGTTAGCGTATTCTGCGAGCCAAACCCGTACGCGTACGAGATAGCAAATATACGAGACAACAAATAGTTTTTAGTGGAGAAGGGCAGTAACTGTCTCGCAAATCGGTACGAGATAGCGAGGTGCGACTGTACCTCAGGATATCAAGGCGCCTTATCCATTGAAGGCATGACTGTTGGTCTACCGGTGGTTTTGGGTAAGTACTGAGACGCCCTAAGCGATACACGTCTCTATCATCATCCCCTAAGTCAGAGAGATTGTCACTATCCCGTTTCAGTGAGAGATATGGTGCCCAATGACCAATATTTGAGCTGGGCTCTTCCTAGCACTTGAAGAAATGTCTCGTGTTGATTCCCCAATCTCTAATTCAGGGAGAAGAATAAAGGTTTACAAGTGCCCTGGCAAGATTAACTGCAATCAACAAGCGATCGCAGATTGGTAGCTCCGAAGGACGAGTTGATATGACCTCTTGAAGTGAAAGAGGTTGGCCGAGACTCGAACCAGGAGTCGGAGCGGATTTGCGACGAACCCGAACTGTCGCTTGACCCATGGTTTGACTTCAGAGTTATTGAGAAGGTGTTTTGGTGGATCAAGTGCAAAAAATGACGTCTATAGCTTTCATCGGCAGAGATACTCGGAGTTTTCCACACCTCTATAAACAATAATGGATATCAAAGATAAGATAGTTTTTAGAACTCCCTAGATTCCTGGCCCAACCAATCACATCGCCGCCTCCCAGTTTTTAGAATTTAGAAATCTGAACCTCCCCCCCCCCCCCCCAACCAATCGACCGAGGATCCATGGCTGCACTCAACGCTTCGAGTTGTTAGTGTGATTTTAGTGGTCGCTGCATCGACTGTCGAAGTGGAGTTGGCTAAAACGCCAAAAGACCTTCTTGGCTCAAAAAAAACGATGTGGTTACTTCTAACAAATAAGCACCTAGACACTTACTCTTCCTTTTCAACTGCATTGTTCAAAATGATCACATTTTTGTTGGCGGTTTATATTTCCCCCTGGAGAGTCTCCTCAAACCACCACCGGACTCAGACCCCTAGCCCCCCCGCGGGCTGACCCAACATTTGATTTCAGTGTTGGGGAGTTAAACGGGAGAAGAATCTTAAGATGGCTGCACTCAACCCCGCAGAATAAGTGGTTGTTTTTGAGTTGGGCACTTAGGTTAAAACCCAATTTGGGTGTGGACTGAATTGCAATTTACGACTGTCTGCAATTGCGAACAAACGGAGTGGCGACAATTTGTGTTCGTCTAAACGCCGAAAACTTGATTCGTTTCTTGGCTCAAATGTAAATAAGGATTAGCTTCTAACAAATAAGCACACTAGACCAGAGTACTCAGAATTTTTTCAAAGCTGCATTGTTAAATGATCATTCATTTTGTGAGAGGTCCTCTTTCTCACCATAAACCCACTCAATACTCAGTCAGCCTGTTACAGACTAAACGGAGGGCTTTGAGAAAAAAGAATCTCAACGGTGCTTGACTTTACACAGAATGGGGCAAAATAAACGAGATTTGAGAGTCTTATCCCTTACCTATTGTCGTTGAAATCACTTCTGGGCTAGGCAGCGCAATCGAGCCCTGTGTGAGAATCTGCATAACATTAAGATAATCTGAGAATTGTTTTCAACTTGAACTTCCCAAAAAACAGGATTCCGACGTCCTAGCGGGGGCGAGGTAGCCTCCACGTCTACTAATAAAACCCAGATAATAATTAGGGTTTAGGCTCGAAACATGCGCTTACAGTTCTTGCCTACCCACGCTTAGGTTCCTTTATAGTAATCTAATTATTATCTTCCCTACCTATTGTTTTTTCTGCGCAAAGAGAATTAAAAATCCTGGAGACTTATTGTTTCGTCGCATCACTCATTTGGCTGGAAGCCGATTAGCAAAAGGATGGATGCCGCAAAGGGGGAGAACATCACTGATCAAGCGAGCAGCCACCAGCAGCGCCTGGCCTATATATGACAGCTTTGGCCGTTCAAGAAAAGAAGCCAAGCGGAAGTAAGAGCGAGTGATTGGTGCTGGAAACGCTGGAAAACGGAGCAGTGGGCACAGCTAGGCTCTGTAGTGAGTGATTGTATAGTGCGTACCTATAACTTTGTTAGAAGAATTGTTTGGTCCTCAAAAGATGAACGTACCTGGAGCGTGTTATTTTGGTTTTGCTGTGGGGGTCATGAATAGGGAGACAGGGAGCTCGAGAGGTAGCTGGGTTGGATTGTGCAATCTAAGACTAGGCTGCTGTAGCCTTCTCTAACTTAAGGTAGGCTTTACGATGACGTATGAAAAGGCATTTATATACGTCATGCAGAAATACTCGCTCTGCCACAATTAGAATTCCGTTTACTTACCCTCTTATTGTTTCTGGCGCCGCGGGCACAAATTCGAAACAGCTAATTAGACTACTCTAGAGGGCAATACCCCAACTACTTGCCAAATTTCTAAGTTTAGGACGAGATAAAGCCGGGCGGGTGGTAGCCGTCAGCGTTGGTTGTATTCTCGTGCTTAGCTGCCAAGCGTCATTTTTATTGAAAAAATATATCTATCAGCCCAATCAGAGCTCTTTGCAGGCACTCATCTTTTAAAGTTCCCCAAGACGGGCATCTTTGGCTCCAGCTTGGCAGTTCCAGCGCTAACGAAGTCTTGAGTGGGAACATGGGATAGATACATAGTTACATGTGAACTTTGTACGGAAATGCCTCGAGTCTTGGGGCTGACGGAGGCGTAACCTCATGATCATGCAGGAAGATAACCTGAAAATGTTTTTATTGCATGTTATTGAGCTTGGGGAAGCAGTATAGTGTTTGACTCCTCCTGGAGATGCCTGAAATTGTGATATTGGGCCGGATATTTAACATGCATAAACACAAAGAATAAATGTGTGAGACGGTATCGAACTTCAATACCCTAAGCGAAAAGTCAGTTTCCAGATTTCATTTGTTCAAGAACATCCTCTCCTACGGAGGGGCTGGACGAATATAATTCTGACAGGTTTCGACAATTGCAAAGGACAAGAAATGAGCATACCTTTCACTGAGTTTGATAACCTTAAACCCTCAGGAAGACCCTATTCAAACCGCGGGTGGGGATGGGTCTACAACGTTGTGGTATTCTAGGGCGTAGACCTCCGAATCTTCATTCTCCAGACACCTCAAACTCAGACTTCTCCTGTATCTGATACATAACCCGATGTGATCTGATTATGGTATTATATTCGATACACACCCCCGTGTCTACTGCGCAATGTCACTCTCCAATTCCACGATCCTCCTCTGATCCCGCGCTGAAGCACTCTCTATCCCTGACCTCGCGTGCCTCTCTTTATACACACTTCCGGGCAAGTCGTTTCCCCGCCTCTATTAGCTCTTTGTTTCCTTTGATTCTTTCAGCTGAATACCGACCTATTGTCCCAAGTCATACTATCCTACGAATATTCCTTCCTTTGACCTCTTCCTTACCTTTTCATTCACCGAAGTGTGATTTTCAATATACGTCCATAGTCCAGGGGAGTTCGCAGGATGATATAGGCCTTGGTGTAGGAGGGTTATATCGTGGGCTTTAACAATAATGAAGGCACAGGATGTGTTGATTTCTCCTTCTGAGAATTGTGTCTCTTTCTCTAGAATTATGCTTTAAGTAAGGTATTAAATAACAAAATTGCATTCTTACTTTTTAACCAGTACAGGTCTATGATGATTTCACTCATACCATTGTAACACTCCCAATTTTGGCAGGAACTAGAGTGCCCTCCGTATATTGGAAGCAGCAATTGTGGCAGTTAGGTTTCCTTATTTGTTGATATTGGGAGTTATATAGAAATCTCCATGCATTTTCCCATTGTTATGTCTCTGTCTCTCTCTTATGTAAAAGTTAGGCTCAGAACAAAAAAATTATTTACACCCCATCACTCAGAACTACCGAAATTCACAAGACCGTAAGTAATCATTTGTGGAAGTATT